CCCTGCAGTTCCTGCCCTGGCAGCTGTGGCCAGAGCTCCTCAGATGTGCTCGTGTCTCGCTGGTGCCAGGCAGCTGCGACTCCACGTGCCCAGGCAGGAGGGAGCACCTTCTGCACAGGTTTCCTTTCCAGAAAATGCTGATTTTTAAATTCAGAAATAGTAAGACATAGTGGGATTTACCTGACTTTCACCTTCTAAAAGTTAGGCTTGTAATTAAAATATCATTAAATTCCTTCACTGTTGAGTGAAGAGGAGGCTTCTCCACTCAAGGGTTGATGGTGTCTGTGATGAATGAGATGAATCATATGCCCTTTTTCCTTCTTGCTTCCTCCCTTCCTTTCCTCTCTTCCTGCCTTCACTCTAGAGCAGACAAGACAATTAACTTCATTAATTACCCAACTTTCTAGATCACTCAGGTCAGCTGGATGGATCTCCCCTAAAAGGCAGACATGGGACCAATTTTTGCATTCACTGAAGAGCTCTTCCCAGGATACCAAATCTGAGGTTTCCTACCTGTCGAGAATTGGGAAAAATTATTAACTGTGTGCATGTACAATTTTAAAATAAGTGTGAAAGCAGAAGGAGGGAAGGAAAAGTCCTTCTCTCCCTCAAGACAATTAATTAACTAGAAACAAGCATTTTATTCATACATGTTAATGGGGAGGAAAAAACTTCTGTCTTTGGAAAACAGGTTTTTTTCTCGGTGTTCTTCAAAGTGAGCTGGTAACACACTGAGGCTCTGTGTGTTTCTGTTTAAGTGACCGAGCTGGGGAGAAAGGTGAGCTGTGCTTTGCTTGGCTGTGCAGGCTCCTGCCCTGATCTGTCTGCCCCAGTGAGTTAGGAAGAGAGAAGTCAAAGATTATGATGGTTGTACAGTGCATTCCCTTACAGATACAGAATTAGATTTTCTTGCTTCTCTACTGAAAAAACTGGACAAGGAATAAAGCAACATTTCGTGATGTGGGAATTAATAAAATAGGAGAGGCTGTCTGGGGGATTTGCTTGGGGGAGGGAACTCGGAACAGGCGGGCACACGCAGTGGAACTGTTGCAGGTTTGGGGAGCACGGTCCCCCGGAGCAGGAGGGAACGAGGCACATCTGCTGTTGCAGCAGGAGGTGTCGGGGAGTCCCGCTGGAATGTCCCCAGCAATTGGGTGCAGGCAGTGGCGTTATTTGAGCGTAGCAGAGCTGCCTCACACAGTTGCTGTCTGAAGACAGAGTGGAGGGAGGAAGAATAAATGTTCAGAGGGAAACACAGTGGGTGTTTTTCTGCCTGTAATCCTTGGGCTCAGGTTCCTGTTCAGTCTGATTCTGAGCGCATCAGGGTCCACGCTCCATTTCTGGAGGCTCATCTGACATTGCAGGCAGCCTGGAGACAGGAACAGCTCCAGGGGAAGGCACATGAGCAGGGTGCTGTGGGTGCCAGAGGAGCATCTCCTGTGCTGTGCAGTGAGCTTGTTTGACTTCAGTTTGTGGGGATTGCTGCCTCCAGCCCTTGCAAGGTCCCTGCTTTCTCTCAGGAGCCCTGTCAGAGCATCTGGTTCGGTGGTGGGTCTCGTGCTCCAGCTTCCATTTGTTGCTCTTGGTGGTTTGTTTGGGCTTTTATTCCTCCTCTTTGCTGCCTTTGGCACAGGACAGCCTTGGTAGGATTGTGGAGCACTGTTATTTCGGGGTGTGAAAGAGTCTTAGGCCTTTAATCTGGGAGTACAAACTACATCTGTCACCTGGGTATCTGTGGCAGTTCCTAAGCAACCACAAGAGTTTATTTTTTTCTGCAGTTCATATTTAAGAAATAATTTGCTCATGCATGAACCAGCCTGAATCAGCCTGAGCACCACCCCAGGAGACAGAAATTGTAAACTGTAATTTAGGCTAATTCTAGTCTAAAGCATGAATTAGAGTATTTTATGTAATCTTGAAAAATATACCATATAAATAAATGTAAGCAGAGAACAGGTACAATTAATTTGAGCACAGTAGGAAGCTTTAAGTAACTCTGGGAATGTGAGAAACCAAGTCGGAACATATTCTTGACATGTAAAAATATTTCCCACCTGCCTTGTTTGCATAAGAACAAGGTTTTAGCAAGTACATATTTGCATGTCAAAGTTAAAAGTGGGGAAAATATTTTCACCCTTGTAAGAAAAAATGCATAATCTTGGCACAGGCAATTTGCATTTAGTAAGTTTAAAGTATCTGAAGTCCTTTCATGCTGCATGGGAAGTGTATGAACCTGCGACAGGGGTTCCATTTCAATGAGTTGATTTGCACAGGCACCACGTGGAGCAGTAATTGATCTGATCTCGCAGTGCATCCATTTGTGCCGCAATTGGTTGGGCAGTCCCCAGCGATCTGTGCCTCTGAGATTGGCCCGGTGTCCTGCATCCCTGAGTGCTGCTCTGAGCTGCAGTTTTAAATGCCGTGTGCCTAATTGAAAGTAAGTACCTTGAAGATGTAAATTTGAGGAAATCAGGAATTCTAAAACTATACCTGATTTGGTGCCAGAGCTCATAAAAATGATGTTGGGCAAATGCTGGCACAGCTGGAGCCTGTGAATCTGTGGAGATTCTCTTTTACCAGTAAAGCACCCTGGAAAATGCATTTGGGACTAATTATGGCACCTTTTAGACTATTACTAACCTAGCTTTAGGCCATCGCTTTGAAGGCATGTTACATTCCTTCAGAAACGCTCTGCAAATGTCCTGTTGCTTAAGAAATAGGGATTGCATAGACAGGCTTCATGGGTGATTTAACTAACATGCTGGAGATTGTAGATAAACTAGATCCAATTATATCATACCTATTCAAAATAAGGCAGTAATTATGGATATAAAAGTGAAATGTAAAAAATACGTGTCCATGTAGCTGTGGAGATAAGCCTTGTCACTACCCTGTCCAAGGAGCTGCAGCAGGCTGCTGATTCACTGCAGCACAGGAGAAAAGGAATCATGTGTTGGAAAGGCACAACTGGGATTTGGGAGAGCTATTCTGGAATTTGCCCACAGGATTACTCTCTGAATTTGAACTGCACATGGTACAAATTCTGAGTTTCTGTGAGTTCCAGTCTGTTCTCCAGTTTGTTGATGTGAAGGGAGGGGGTTGTGCCAGCCTTTCTGCCACAAGCTCATAAACACAGGAGGCTCCAGTAATAATTAATGTAGCCCATTAATGAAACAGCACACGCGTTGTTTTTTCCCTTTTATTAGTTCACTTCCTGCTCCATTGTGTTTAATGTGTTAGCTGAAAGCAAAGTGAAATTAAAACCATTTTTGGGGAAGAGGCATTTCCTTCCTTAAGTGTCCTAAACAGACCTCTTCATTTCAGCCTGTTGTTTTTTTGCTGCAGGGATGCTGGGGTTGAAGGTCAGGGATGCCAAGGTGCTTGTGATGGAAGCAGGTACCGGTGGTGCCCTGCTGTGGGGCTGCTGGGGAGCTGCTGGTACAGACCTGCCCGGCCAAAGCCCAGCAGAGTGGGGACAGCTCCCGTTGGGGCTGCTCAGCTGCCCCCTTGTTGTATTTGGTGTCACCTGGAGAATATTTTGGGGGGATATTTTCACACTGTCGGTGCTGTGCTAAAAATCCTCTAGGCTTCTGCTTTATAATGATCTTTTTATAATGCTTTGGGCCAGATCCTGAGCTGTGCCGTGCTGCAGTGCAATGGAGCACACAGTAGCACTGCTGTTATTAATCAAGATGACTCTTGATTAATAATAAGCATCCAGTTACGGATTGCAATGCAATGTTTTTAGCTTGGACATGACCTTTTGAGAGCAGAGTAGAACTGAAATCAAGCCAATGCATTGTAAGACAGCAGCATTAGATGTGATTTTGTGTGTTGTCAGACTGGAGAGCTGTAAATTGGATGAAAGAGGAGCTCTGTTAAGCAGTCAGGCAGCTTGTGACCGGGTTTGGGCTCCTCAAGGAGGCGAACAGCGCTGGTTAATGTGTCACAGTTACAGACACAGCCAGAGCTGCCCTTGCACTGTTGCAGCTGGGCGCTGTCCAGAGCACTGGTGCAGCTTCATCCTGACACGGTGTGCAGAGCAGGGCTCTCCTGGGATTTCAGCCACCCAGCCGTGTGTGCTGGTGTTTGTGGGCACCCCGAGCACACGGTGTGAGTGTGCCCTGCTGCTGTTGGTCACTGCAGCGCTGCCTGTGCCCTTTGGGCCTGCCCAGAGCTGCAGCACAGCTGCAGCCGTGTGCTCCTGGCAGTGAGGGGTGGCCCTGAGCAGGCACGAGTCCCTCCTTGGGCCTGTGCATTCTCATGGGAAGGTGCTGCATTTAGAGCTGCTCACACACCAAACTCAGTTCAGTGCCTGGGTTTATATGTATGAAACTGCATTTATCAGGGCTTTCATGCCTTATAAATGAATGGCATTTTCCAGACTATGCCAGCTCCTCTGGTTTCAGTAAACTGAGTGCTGCTGTGTTTTCCTGCCTTGTTTGTTCTGTGGTAGATAACACACAAACAGGAACCAATTCCCTTTCCATTCAGATAGGGAAGTTTTGGACATGCAAAACGGGGTTGCTCTCACCTTGTAACTTCTCTTTAGCGCTGGCCCCTCGTGTGGGCTGGGTGGGTGTTGGTGGCTGTGGTGGACGGGGTGCATTTGCTTCCAGGCAGGACAAGCATTAACATTACCTGCTACGGTCTTGTAGGAATACACTTGGAAGAAACCTTTCTGGTGTCATCTTAGCTCTTTGGCCAAAATGTGAACTCTCCTATTCTTTTTGGCTTTGAAATGCTGATTCCAGCCTTCTTGTGGGTTCTTAAACACCTTCTCAAATGACCCATTTTAATAACCCAAAAGCTATTATATAACGAGCAGCCATAATTTAGTCCAAAGCTCTAGGGGATCCTTGCAGTTCAGCAATGAATAGTTAATGCAGTATAATGTTTAGCAGGTTATTAGTTTTCACTGTACAAATGCTGATCAGGGAATGCTTTTATAAGGTGTTTAAAAGAAAATGTAATTAACTGGTTGCGTGCTTCTGTTGCAGCTCAAATTGAAATTATTCCATGCAAGATCTGTGGAGACAAATCATCAGGAATCCATTATGGTGTCATTACATGTGAAGGCTGCAAGGTAAGCTTCTAAAATATTAAGTCTGAAAAGAAGCATTTAGCCTTTTGATAGTGATAATTTTCCTTCTTTTTTTAAAGAGCAAGCATTGCTCCTAAGTTGAATGTAAACTAGTTGGGGATTCTGAAGTACTGGTTTTATTTGGACCTTAAATAGGATGTTTCCATGACACACACACAATTACACTGCTGCAGATTTTAGGACAATCCTCCAAATCACACAGTTGTGCTGGGTGTGCTGTGCATTGTCTCTCTCTGCATAAACAGAAGAGGTACAGAGATGATCTGCTCAAGCACAGCACCAAGAGCATTCAGTGCTTTCAGCTGAGGGAGGACAAGTCTGGCTTTTTTGAATCTCCCGGTGTGGTTTTGCTCTGTAAATTGCGATGAAGCTCTGCTGAAATAGGCGAGAGCTCTCCCCTCTGTTTTCTTTTGCCCTCTGCTGCAGGTACAGATCCCTTGTGTGTGGCAGGGGAGATGTTTCACAGCAGCACGTGCTCCTGGTGCTCAGCATGCTCAGGTCTTGCTGAGACCGCTGCCTGCTCCTTGCAGGGCAGTCACTGCTGTGCCAGGTTTAGGCTTTGAAGTTTTTCCTGGAGTTGTACCTTTGGTGAATCAAGGGAACAAGGATTGCACTAGAAGCATTTCTGGTTTGTTCAGTGTGTCTGTTACAAGCAGGAGTTAAACTGGACAGTGCCAACAGCAGGCAGGAGTGAAGCTGATCACTCCTTTTGATCCCTAGTGCAGAATTACAGCGCTGGCATGGGGTGACACAGTGTGCACAGCATGCTCTGGCTTGTTCTTCTCTTCATGGATGAATGTTGCAATCCCATGCTGATAGGTTTTCTCCTCTTAATCTATACCTGAGTTGAGAAGAATTGATGATGGTAATAGTTTTTAGTCTACTCTCCTGATCTGCTTGATACCACAATCCATCTTCAAAAAGTAGCTTCCTTGCATTCACATTATGAAGTTCTCTTTTGTGTTTTTCCCAGGAAGATTTTTGTGTTTTCATTAACACATCCTCTCAGTCTTATGGAAGTATTAGTAACAATGAAGGGAAAAAAACCTAAATTAAGAATCTTGGAATGATATGGGAAAATAGCACCTTCTGCCCTTTCTGACTGCTGTTACTGTGGAAAATACAAGAAATGTACTAAAAATGCATTGATAACAAAGTGATGGCTTTTTCCAGGTTTATGTTGTTAAGCAGTCTTTGTGAGATTTCAGCTGTGGGAAGTGCAGACATTGGTTGTGAGAATTCTGCTCAAGGATCAAGTTGTGTTCAGGGTCCGAGAGCTCTTTATTCTTTAGATGGTCTGGGAGCAGAGCAGCTGGGAGAGAGATCCGTGGCACCCAAGCCCGAGTGCAGACACAGCAGGGTTAACCAGGTGCTGGTGCTCGGCTGGGCCTCCCCACATGGGGCTCCTTGCAGAGCAGAGCCCAGGACAGGGAAGCTGCCAGCTGTGTTTGCCTTCCTTCATCTTCATGCACTGAGTGAGAATGTGTGTGCACTGTAATGTGTTCTAGAACAAAGAATTTTCCTCCAAGTGCTCTGTAAATCAAGTTCTGTTGGAGCTCTCTGTTGTGCAATGCTCTCTTCTGAGGATTCCACCAGAAGGGTCAGCTGGTGAGAAGGGCAGAAGGGAGGGCAAGCAGGCAGGGGTGCTCAGCACACTGAAACCCCTCTGAACCTTGAAGGCAGAAGGTGAGAATTAAGAGTAGCCCAGTGAATGATTTTGGCATTTTCTCCTTCTCTTAAAGGAGCACAGTGAAGTTTTGTAGCCATACAATTTCAGACAGAATTTTAAAGCCAATTAATAGTTGGTTAACCAAGTTACCTTCCTTTGAGAAGCTCAGTCCTCTTTAATGCCAGAGCCCAGGCTGGCAGACCGGGGTACTGCTGCTGGGCACAAGTCACAGGAGGAGTTTACATGAGCATGGCCTAGGCAGCATAAAATGACCTGCTGTGGATTCTGGATTCTCTGGATTCTCTCTTCCACACTACTGTCAACAAAGTCTCACCCAACAGAACTATTTTGGCTGGTGAAGAGGTTGGCATAGCTTGGCTCCTGCCAAAGCAGCCAGGTGTGGATTGGTATGGCTTTCATTTCCCAGCTTTTCTGTGGCTGTGACTGCTGCAGGTTTGAGCATGCTTATGTTGCTCTTCATGTTGTGCTAAAGCTTCCTCTGTAAAAAGTCCCTGGCTGCAAAGAGCTCATTGCCAGTGCTGTGCCTTGGCTGCTGCAGCCCATGCCCAGTCCCAGAGAAGTCAGGGAGGTTCTGCACAGTGCCACAGAGCCACCCACGTGCAGGTGGCAGGAGCAGGGCTGTGGCTGTCAGGAGGGAACAGCTGTGCTGCTGCCCTCAAGCCAGGCCTGTCAGGAATGATCCACAGGCAGCAACAGCCACAGCAGAGCGGGGTGTTTCAGCTTGGACTGGTTTCATTCCAGTTTGGTGTGAACTTTAATGTTACTTAATCCTCATGTTAACTTAAATGTTACTCTGGAAATACTGATAAACAGCAGAAATACAGTTTATTCAAAACCTAGTCTGTATCAGGGATGAAATCACTGACCAGCTCTTGTCGGATTGACTTTTGCTGGTCCTGTTGTTCTTCTGCTGCTTTGCAGCCCTTGCATTTCACAGACTTGAAAGTGTTCTGACCAGGTTGAGTTGTTACACTGCATTTCACAGAACTAGACTTGAAGATTTGTAGTAAACCCCATTAGTGTTTCTTGGGAACATTCATTTCCTCCCTTGCTGTGATGTTGCTGGCTGTTCTTAGGAAGTTGGTGGCAGTGTTTTGCAAAGGCACTGAGTGCTGCCGACCCCTCAGCCTGTTCAGCTCAATTTGAATCTGCCTTTAAAAAAGGAAAAGTTAACACCCCTTCATCATGTCCCCCTTAACTGAAAATTTGAGGTTTTAGCCAGGCTGTATTTTACACTTTATCTTGGAAGTCTTCTGTGGCTTATTACAAATAAAATAAATTTTTTAAGAGAGGGTAGTTGCAGGAGCACTGCTGAAAAAAATGGTATCTGTATGGAGCACTTCACTCAACCATTAGTTGTGGGAACCCATTAACACCTTTTATGCTGTAGGAAGGGAAAGGAAACTGGTTTGTACACATCCATGTTCTTTTCTCCTAGCTGGGAGTTGAATTCAGTTCCACATGGTCATCCAATGAACTACAGAATTTAATTTGCAGATGCAGTTACTGGGTTTTGCTGTCAATAGTTCATGCCCAGCTGACCCACCAGTGCAGTAGCAATCCCTCTCTCTACCTGACTGCATGCAGCTGCTCTAACAAAACCCCTCATGCAGGGCATTTCTGGGCATTGCACATGCTTATCAGAAGGTTTATCAGTACTGGCTTTTGTCTCTTGTGTCTTTCAAGACCTCAGATGATCTCGTTGTGGTGTGCTGTCCCTGCCCATCTTGCTTTCATTTGTTGACAAACACAAGCTCACTCCTGTCTTTATTACTGATGTAAAGCTGAATGGTTTTGCTCTGTTTTCAGTGACACTATGACTTTGTCTTTATTAACACAGTTTATTAAACAATATTGTCAGAGCATTCTCCTACCTTAACAACTAAAATACGTGCTGGTGGTCATAAAAGGGTTAAAAATCCAATTTGAATGTTTGTCTGTCTTTTGTATTACAGTGTATTTTTCTGATGTTTCTTTGAAGAAAATTTGTGTTGGTTTGCTTTAGAAAACAGCAAAATAATTACTCCCCCCCAACTAATTGTTAATTGCTCAGAATATTGCAAAACTTAATGATACGTGGAAGTCTTTAAGTATTAGCCATAAATCATGGGATTATGAATAAGCCTTTGTTGTCACAGGCTCGCATACAGTCATTCCAAAACGTCTGCCATTAGGATGCAGCAAGGCAGCTGTCAGCTGTTTTCTTGTAATTAAACAGCCAATGAGCAGCTAATTAAGACATATGTGTATACAGAAGTGGAAGTGGGTATGTTAATGAACTGTAGGAATCAATTCATTAAATGAAAATTTGTCAAAAGACCAAACATGAGCTCAGTGTTGCAGCCGTTGCGGTGCCATTGGGGACACCGGGAGGCACAGGGGGCTCAGGGCCGGCTCAGAGCCCGCTCTGCACTGCTGAGCTGCACAGGAGCACTGACACCAGTGACAGACTTTGCAAGAACTGCTATTTACATTTCAAACTCCTTTTTTAACAAGTTGTTATTCCAACTGACTTACAGATGAGAAGTTCCTGTGCTCTTTTTTTCCCCAAACCTGATTTTGTGGGAGCAAACGAACACCCATAAACTGTGTTGGTGTGAACAGGAGTCTGAAACACAGGGACCGAGCTGTGGCTTGGTACTGCCCTGCTCTTCTGGCACCGGGTGGATCCATCTGCAGGAGGAGCAGGGAATGAGCAGAGCTCAGTGCTGGGGCTGGATCTCAGTGCTGCCGTCAGGAGGGGCCGAGGCACGGCCCGGTGCTGTGGCCCAGCACAGCAGCAGCTCTGTTGTGTCTGTGCTGCTCAGGCGGTGCCTCTGCGGCCCCAGTCGGTCACAGAGTGGTGGCTGTAAACACGCACGCAGTAAGAGCATGTGGCCTGGGCTGGCTTGCATAAGGCTTGAACGTATACACGTGTACCAAGGATGCATCCACCTCCTCCTTCCTGGTGGGAAAATTATAGCCAGCCCTGTGCCTCTGGCAAAGAGAGGGACTAGAACAACAGAATGGAGTGTTCTCCTTGTAATAAAGGAGAGAAAAAGCCAAGAAAGAAACTGTAGGTACTTACAGAAGGCTCCTGTAATAGGGGCTTCCCCACGTGTCTTACAGTGATGAGAAAGCCCAAGGACCACCAAAAGCTTACATAACTCACAAGTAAGTGACAGCACCATAGAACAAAAATCCTCACTTGACCTTCATTGTCAATTCGCTCCCACGTCAGATACCTGTGTTTCTGAGCTCTGCACAAGTTTAGATTAGCTTTTGAAGTTTGTGGCAAGGTTTCTTCTTTCTTTTACCTAGTGCTGATGTTTTCTTGGGTTTGTTTTTAAAAGCAATTTACTGTATCTCTGGTTTGTAAAACAAGTGCTTTTAAAGGCCTGGGTTCGGGCATTTCTGCTCTACTGGAAATTTAGCTTCAAGCTGTAACTTAGCTGATATATTGTACACTAAAATGTATTGAGCAGCTGTGTCTCTAGGGAAAATCTGGAAATGGAAAAAGGCCAGTATTTTCTCTATTATAATACTAAAAATAATATTCATTTTGACAAGGGTATTCTTAATAAAATATGCCGAAGTGGCAATTCAGAATCAGTGTACATATATATATCTCAGCTAAAGGAAAACATATGGATCCTTGAGGTTATTGGGACGTGTTGGTTTCACATGCTGTTTAGGCTGACTTGCAGAATCCCAGAGGTGGCAGAGGGTTTCATGCCGCTCATGTGTGAGCATGTCATTCAGTGTAACTGGAAGAGAGTTTGGAGAACTGAAATTTTCAGGGACTGATGCACAACCTTGAGCAGTCTCTGGTCAGCTCAATCCCCAGTCCTGTTTTTGTGGTGAATGGCATTGCACTTGGAGTTCAGTGGTGAGCACACTTGTCCTTGCACTGCAGTGACAGACTCCACTGATGGTGCTCCCAGCACTAGAAATGAATCAATGTACTTACCAAGAGTTGGTTTCTCTGGAGGGATCAGTTGTGATGTTGGAATGGTAGACATTTCCTTGGTTTTTCAGGTTGAATTATTATTATAGGGTGAAATGCATTCAGTTGGAGCTCAATATGTGCAATACTTTCAGTCTCAGTGACAATTACCTATTGACAAACATGAAAAAAGTGGTTGAAAGTTCTGTCATATAGAAACAAAGACCAGAAAAAAAGGGTAACAAATTATGTACAGGAAAACAGGATTAAAGACGGCATCTTCAGTTTGGTTTTTTTTAATATTCTATGTTCCCTAGTAAAGCTTTAATAAAAGGAATGTCACCAACAGAGACTGGTGCCTTCCTGCTAAGGCTGAGCAGGGGCTTTGTCTCAGTCGTTTGCCCTGTTTCTGTCTGCAGCCACTTTGATAGGAGCTACTTGAGACTTGTCATACAGATGTCCTTCCTTTGTTTGCTTCACCAAGTATCTGTGCATGTGCTGAGGGACTCCAGCATGAAACCTTTGAGTAAATAACAAATTGGTAAAAGTCCAGCTTTAATTAAAAGGTGCCCAGCCTTTCCAAGGAGCTATTTTCTTTGCAGCACTGTTAATTAATCCATTATGTGGCAACGTAAAACTAAAATAGTGTGTTCACTTGCTCTCAAATGCCTCTTTAGAATGACTGCATCTTTGCAGAATCCTTGTGAAGTAGGTATTACACACACACCTGCGTGTGTTTGGGCAGTCTGTGGCAGAAGGATGAAATGGACTTCAAAGCAGGCAGCTGCAGAGTGGTGAATGACGCGCACCTCTCTGGAGGGGACAATAAAGTTGTAGCTGTGCGTAACCTTTGGAGCTGGGCTTACTCAGGAGAGAGATCATACATAAAACGTGTTTTAGCTTTTCCCCTCCTTAAGAATCTGTATCCTGCACCAAGTTGAACAAAACTTGGGCTGTCAGCATCAAACTAACTCTCACAACAGCAGCAATAGGTGACAGCAGCACCAGTGCAGTGACCATGCCTCTGTCCTGGGCACTGGTGAGGCTCCTCAGGTGCTGTGTCTGGTTTTGGGCCCCCTGTGACAAGTGACATTGAGGGGCTGGAGTGGGTCCAGAGAGGGGCAGCAGAGCAGGGGAAGGGTCTGCAGCACAAGTCTGTTACTGGGTTTAAGTCTGATAAGGAACAGCTGAAGGTGCTGAGGTTATTTAATCTGGTGAAGAGGAGGCTCAGGTGTGACCACCTTGCTTTCTACAACTCCCTGATGGGAAGATGGAGCCAGCTGGGGGTCAGGCTTCTCCCATGGAGCCAGCAACAGGACAAAAGGAGATGGCCTCGTGTTGTGGTAGGGCAAGCTTCAGTTGGATATTCAGGAGAAAAATCTTCACCGAAAGGTTGAAGATGTGAAAGGGTGGGCAGGCATTGGATTAGACTGTGCATGGAAATGGTGGAATCACTATCCCTGGAAGTGTTCAAAAGGTGTTTGAATGTGGCACTTCAGGTTTAGTGGTGCTGGGATGATGTTTGGGCTTGATGATCTTAGAGGTCTTTTTCCACCTTAATGATTCTGTGAATCTTTAAAAAAAGCATGTTAATAAATTGTCCTTTGCAGGAGAAAGTCTTCAGCATCGTGCTGTGTATTTTTAAACACATACACACACTGGCAAGGCTGAACATCAGAGCCTGCCACTGTCACTCCAGAGAGCAGAACAGGGTGGGAGCTGTTGAATCCTCCCTATTTTGGAGAACTGTGACAACCCAGGAAAGATAGGAAATCAAGGTCTATAATTAGTTTTATCTCATTTGAAAAGAGCTAGTCTGCCATATGTAATATGGGATATGTAAAATCAGTGAATAAAAAGTGTAATTCCTTTACATGTTACAACGCTTTTTTTAATGAACTGCTTCTTGTTAGTTACTGGTTTTTGTTTATTTCCAGGAGAGAAAAAAAACCAAAAACAACAGAACCTTTAGTTTTAACTTCCTTTAGTTGACTGTAGAGCACTTGAACTTCTTTCCTTTGAAGTATGCTATCCTTGCTATCCTTCAGAGTCTTTATTTGCTCCATCAGTTAACAGCTCCTTGTGTTTTGCCATGGCACGGCAGGGCTTTTTCAGGAGGAGTCAGCAGAGCAATGCCACGTACTCGTGTCCCCGGCAGAAGAACTGTCTGATCGACCGCACCAGCCGGAACCGCTGCCAGCACTGCCGCCTACAGAAATGCCTCGCTGTGGGGATGTCTCGCGATGGTGAGCGCTGCTGCCTCGGGGCTGCCTGCACTGGGCTGACAGGGGGGCCAAAACCAGCATCTGTGCTAATTGTGCATTGATAGTTGAGATCATCGAGTGACTTTCAGATGTTGCCTCATATTTTTCTATGTTGTATGCTATATGTTTTTAGAGGCTGCTGTATACTGGAATATATACAAATCAGGGCATGTACAAAGTTCTTGGAGTTGTCTTTTTTCTTACTTACCTATTACAGTTCTCAGTTAAGAGCTTTGTCTCTGGTCATTTCTTGAAGATGTAGTTTGTTTTTCTCAGTTAATGTATTCATATATTCATTGATATATTCTCTATATACTCATTCCAACTTAAGTGACCTCCTGTAGTTGCAAGTAGTGCTGCCTGGTGCAAGGGTCCAGATCAGACCTGCTTCACAGTATCAACTGAAGTTAAATGTGTGTATAATGAATAATGGAAAAAATACAAAGAAAACAATAATGCAGTGTTTTTACAAAGATGGAATTCTGAAGAAAAGACGTTCCAGCGCTGTTAAATATTAAGCTCAAAATTGCAGCTTGAGTAGTGATGAAAGCCCGCCTCTGCCAAACAGTTGCTTATGTAATTCAGTCAGAACTGGCTTTGCAGCTGAGCCTTGCACGCCTCCCCCACAGATGGAAGGGAGCTGCCACCACTCACCCATCTGAAGATCTGACTCAGTCTTTTCCCCTGCCACAGTGACAGCAGCCCTGCATGTTCTACAAATACATACACATTACTCCAAGTGCATGAGGCCTAATCAAGGAGATTGTTCCCAGATTACATTTACTTCTTGAATTACATTGTCTTTATTTTTTTTTATTGGCCATGAGACTAAAAACCTGAAACAGTTGATCATGTAATGAGTGCTTCTTCCGACATGTTTGCTTTCCTGTAGAAAAGCTGAAGGCAGTAGTTGCCTTTCTAAGGATGAAGCTTTTACAGCAGATACAGGTCTTTGAAATCCCATGCTGCATCCTTGAGAATTCCCTGGAAATTCCCAAACCAGTTGCTGCTGGCTTACAGCTAATACTTCCCAAAGTTGTAGTAATGCTGTGGAAATACACGCATGCATTTGTGTGCACACACACAGAGAGGTTTAACAATTACTCATCTACTAAGCATTTTTGCCTGTCACAGAGGCACTTTGGTGGCAGGTTTGGTGGTTCTTCCCACGAGCTTTAGTCGCAATCTCAGTAAAGCTTGAGATTTGCTTGGCACGTGTTGGCACCACACTCTAGGGTCACTCCACAGCATGAGTGTACAGCTGGTTGGAACTGGACAGTTGTCTCAAGCCAGTGTGTTCTGGTTTAGCTTCTGCTTTTCTAGGTAGGGTTTGAATGCTGAAGAGATGCATCTGTCAACCTCAACGGACATACGAGAGAAAATCTTTCAAGCACAGAAGTGGAAAGTTAATGAATTAAGTTAAACCAGTGACTTCTAATGGTCCATTTCAGTGGCATGTCAAGACAGTCTTTTAAAGAGCAGGCAGCTGTGTACCTGTAACTGAGAAGTGGTTCTTAGGTCTGTCCATCCTGCAGGTTTGGGTTCGTGCTGTATCCTTCCATGTAACATTGAAAGCCAGGCAATGAAAAGGCAGTGGTGGATGTGTGGAGGTGTAATCCCTTGTGTGTCTGTGTTTCAGCTGTAAAGTTTGGTCGAATGTCCAAGAAGCAGCGGGACAGCCTGTACGCCGAGGTGCAGAAACACCGAATGCAGCAGCAGCAGCGCGATCACCAGCAGCAGCCCGGGGAGGCAGAGCCGCTCACACCAACATACAATATCACCACCAATGGCTTAACAGAGCTACATGACGACCTCAGTAATTACATTGATGGGCATACCCCTGAAGGTAGCAAAGCAGACTCTGCAGTTAGCAGCTTCTACTTAGACATACAGCCTTCTCCAGATCAGTCGGGTCTTGATATTAATGGAATCAAACCAGAACCAATATGTGACTACACACCAGCATCGGGCTTCTTCCCTTATTGTTCTTTTACAAATGGGGAGACCTCTCCAACTGTGTCCATGGCAGAATTAGGTAATGAGAGAGAAAAGCTTCCGTTGTAATTGTTTTAACAATACCCTTTGGATGAAAGTGGCACGTGTAGCCAGTGATAGTGAGAATGCTGCTGCAGTAGAGCTGTGGGCATGGATGGGCATTCTTGTGTGAAGTGCACAGCAAACACCCTGATTGATCTCAGGGCACACGGGAACTCCTTCCTGCTCTGGACTGAAGCTCCCTGGGGGCTGGGGTTAATCAGTGCTACCAGTGTTGCTTTTGCTTTCAGTCCTTGCTGTAGAACCCTGGGAATACTCATGAAGAAGGTAATTTTTAGTGTTGAGAAAACAGGGCATTTCTTTATTTGCAGATTATTTTTTTATAACAATTTATCTCCTTTTTCGTTACCTCAATACTGTTACTCCTAACAATAAGTGATGAGGCTGATTTTCTTCTCTTCACCTGAGAAAAGCACTGGGCTAATCTGAGGGCAGTTCTTGTCACTTACTGAAGACAATCTAGCCCCAGGTACTGAAGGACATTTTTGAATGTAGCAAGTTTTGATAATCTCTCCAAGAGCCTTATAACAACCACATTAATTAGCACATTTTACTTTAAACTTTTACCTTAATGATTACATTAAGGCTGAATTCCACAAGTATGACTTGTCAACAGCTGAGACTGGAGTTAGAGTGTGCTGTGTTATAAACAAAGTGGAACAGGACATCAAAGAACTGGTTTCGTGATTCCATTACTTATGTAAGCAGCCAGGCATTAAAATTGATTCTTAAAACTTGCTGAAGCAACATTTTTTCTAATTATTTTATTATGAAAACCTAAAAATAGTTCAAAAAATCAGGTATTCCACATTAAAATTTTGTGTGGTTTATTTTATGTTCTTTTGAGAAGTTTTTCAGAGAGGAAGACACAGGAAGCTTGCTTTTTAATGTCCTTATGTTGCAGAATGCTGCAACAACGTAATTTGTCCTGACAGCCAAAATATTGTGTCTGGCATGAATTCAAATAATTTCAGATAGGTAAAAAGGAGAAGAAAATGTCAGGACAAAGGCAACACCACTAGCTTTGTCTCAATGAAATAACTGCTAATTCTCTCATGGAAGGTATTAAAACATTAAACCCACAAAAAAAAAAAAAATAGAGGGTTTTTCCTTTGTATACCCAGTGTTGAGTTTGGACCACTGGCCTAACAGAGTTTGTCCTGCTGCTTACCTTGATTTACACAGTGCTTTGTTTAAACCCTGCACAGCATGAACATTACTGAACAATGTTTGAAGAATGTTTGTCTGCCAGACGAAGGTTTCAATTTAGAAAGGTGTGGCTGTTCAATGAAAATATTTAGGTGTGTGCTGAAACGCAGTCCCAGAGTGAGGCAGAGCTTTGTGAATAACATGGGAATGTTTCTCCTCCTGCATCCTGCAAGGGCACGGGGATTGTGCTGTCAGCTGCTGCTCCCAAGAACAAGTGTTTAACTGTACACTTGTTAAAAAAAACCAAAACTGCTCTGAAATACATCAAAGCTATGGTGACAAAGTATAAATTACATTGTGTTCTACCTTACTGATTGCCCAGGTAGCACATATAATCTGCTTTTATTTCATCTGTATGTTAAAGGCTTTTCAGGCAATATCTTACTCAAACTACTGACAGCCATTGGTCCGGCAGTTCAGTTTGTGAGGAGCTCTTTGATCATTACCAAACAAAGCCAGTTTCACTGAAGACCCAGTAATGCAGTCCCTCAGAATACCTCCGTGTTGCAGTGACCACCATTCCTCCTTGGTTTGAGCCTTCACTTTCAGTGGCCAAACAAAGCAGAATTCTGTGAGACAAGTCCCCAGGCCTCTGCTTGTCACGTGCTAAAATAGGAGAACATGCCCACCTGAAGGGTCAGGGTAGGAAAGGGGAAGTTAAATAAAAGTGGAACTTGGGTATCTAAATTCTGTTCAGGCTTTTGAAAGTGTTCCTAAACATTTATGGAACCAGGTTTTATTAATAAATGTAAATCTGCATTATGCATCTTTTAATCAAGTGTAGCAGCAGAAAATAATTCTATTTCAAATTAAAATGTATGGAACTTTTAAATCGTGCAGTAAACTAGGTGAGTACTCTAAAGCTGAAGGAAAACAACCCCTCATGCTAGGGATTTTTTAGTGTGTTAGAGAATCTTGAAGATTAAGATAATAGATGCATTTTCGTGATATTTTTTAAATTTTGTGAGAGTAGGAAAAAAAAAAGACACTTTTCCCTCCCAGGCAGCCTCATGGAACCAGAGTCGTGCCTGAGTGAGCGCTAGACAGGTGGTAACTGTATTTGCCTATTGGAAAGCGTTGGCACTGGCAGCTCTGCCTGCCTGGCAGTGCCGTTCTGGCCGTCCCTGATGTGCCCGCGTTCAGCACGGCCTTGGGCAGCTGTGTGCCCTCCATCGCCCTCTTCTTCACACAG